GTCCTGCTCGAGAATATACATACATAATTTAAGGCGTCGGATATGCCTCCATCTGCCTGTTATATACATTTGTATAAAACTAATATATACCATTTTTCAATGGGCTCACGGAATAACATTGTCTTAGACCCTTGATCTCGGTTTGAGAGATTGTTATGCCATATTTTATCTGTCATTTAAATGCTTTCATAGAGTCAACATACATTTGGGTAATTCAGGTTTATATTGTTGTGGCAGATATATATAGGAATGTATATATACAGATATGCCACAATTATTGTACAAAATCATTTCATTATAAAAGTTAGTTATTTAACTTATGACTTTATAAGGAAAGTATTATTTTCGTCTTGGGCACAATGTATATAGACTATAGCGAGTCCCGTTTATAAATAAGTAACTTCTCAAATTTATTGTATTAATGACAATACTTCAATAACAAATTCTGCACCTGCTGCACCGCAGCAGGCAACTACAATAATCCTAAGCCTATTAGTCTTTGGCGTAAGCCTAGCGGTGGAATTTTTGCGATTGCATTAAAATGCTTGGATAGCTCACTAGGCCTTCTCCTTAACTTTGCGCTGGCGCAGCGTCTGGGCCTCTAAACTCTCCGGTGTCTTATCGCTAGTCTTATCTAGCTGTAGATCATCAATGTTCGCCCCGACCTCAGCAATTTCGTACTTCTCATCCAGGAAACTCAGCTCGTCCTCGTCGCGTAAGCTGCTCGAGCTGGAGAGGATCACACTGCTGGCTTTCTTTTGCAGCTGGTTCGTGAGCCGTGCGTATCTGATTTGCAAATTGTGCAGCCAGGTGGCATCGGACCAGTGGTACCAGCTGAGCAGAAAGACGACCAATATAAAGAATAGATTGGTGCTAATGGCTGGAAAGGGAGTACATGCAAAGCCAGTTTAGATGATATTGTCCATATGGGGTAATCAGTGCATCAGAACTTACCCACGATGGCCGAAAGAATGGGCCAGTTGAACATGATGTACCGCAGACCAGTAAAATCCGCCTCAATGTGCAACGTAACCGTATAGAATTGTATCTTCTGCGATTGTATCTCTACATAAACATCGGTTATGGGATGCTGACGCTCCTCCAAATAACGTGAAAATATTTCGACCGGCACCTTTTGGAACTCCTCCTTCCAGCCTAGCACATAGAGCGGACTCAGCGCCCATGTGGATATCATTCGTATCAACGGCGAACGATAGCGCATCATGGCCGATCGGCACGAGTGACCGCGCAGCATGGAATCATAGTCGCGCATCTCAGCACAGACCATAAACATACCGAGCTCTAGGTTCTGCGGCGATTCCGGCATATCAATGTTGACAATGACCTTGTACGCTTGACCCACCATCAGCAGTTGTTGTTTCTTAGTCAACGACACATGAGCATGGGGAAAGGTGCAGGGAGTGCTGGTCTCCAGGCAGGTTCTGCAAATGTGCCGCCAATCAATTCAGATCTGTCTTGCAGCTGCGCTGTGAGGGATACCTACTTGAACTGCATGTGCACGGGTCGCGTATGCGATATCGGCGGCATGTAGACATAGTAGAAGGCGGCATAGAAGAACATGGCTAGCCAAATGATTAGCACAACGGCAAAGGCAATCAGTCCCAGGCGCAGCACAAGCTCCCGTATGGTGTCCACTTTCTCGTCCGCTTTGCTGCGAAATCGATCATAGACATTGAGCGTTAGATTTACAGCCGGGCGCACAATAAAGCGGCGGCCCAACCCAAGCGGGTCAAAGCAGAAAACGATGAAACGCAGCAGGAAATTCATGACGGCGCGATCTGGCGGGCGTAACTACGACTGCGTCTGTTATCGAACTGTGGCTATTAAATACCGTAGTCGTAGCACATACTACTTAATAATTGAGGTTCTTATCGGCGATAATGCCTATTGCCGGATTTGCATGGTTTGAAGTTCAAACTTTGAACGGCAAAAGTGGACATTATCAGTTGTTAACAAATTTGCAATCAACTAGGAGCTGCGCGCTGAATCATTCACGTGCATATCTGCAGAAATACTGGTTTTTAGTTGAGCAAGTTCCAGAACCAGTTCTCTTGTTTATATCGTTGGTATTATTAATTTATAAATTGTATTATTAGCGAAAGCATATTGTGATGTGTATTGTGATAAATTATAATTTAAATAATATATTATTTTATTTTATGTTTATATTAGATTTATTTGATTTAATTCCCAAGTATGTTTGCCAATCGACAGCACTGGCTTATGATTAAAGCTTATCGATATATCGATATGTATTTAGCCTTTAGATTTGTGTATGTAAACGTAATCTACCCAGTCGCTTTAATAATATACACAATGTAATAATCAAACGAAAGTAATTATTAAAAACAATCAAGTGTAACTAGAAACGCAATGTGTTAAGAAGCAAGACTCGAATATGTGCATGTAATATTTGTACGCAAGTTAGCTGACATCGAAGGTTTGTGGGCGCTCTCACAAACAGACAAAAACAATGAGTAACTACAGATACCACGGTGGGGGTGGAGGCGGCGGCGGCGTCGGCGTTGGCTACTATGGCATTGAGGTGCGCGACATGCATCAGCGGATATCTTATCCGCATCATTTTACATTCGTTAGCTCCTGCGTGAAATACATGATATTCATATTGAACTTTATGTTTTGGCTGTTTGGCGGCCTGCTGCTGGGCATCGGTGTATATGCGTTTAAGGACAAATGGGAGGAGGCGAACGGTTGGGTGAAACTGGAAAATATTTATGATGTTGTACTCAATATATCGCTGGTCATGATCATAACGGGCATTGTCATATTTGTGGTCAGCTTTGCTGGCTGCCTGGGCGCACTGCGCGAAAACACCTGTCTGCTCAAATTTTACTCGATGTGCCTGTTGATATTCTTTCTCATGGAAATGGCCATAGGTACGTGGAATCGTATCGATCAATCACAAGTTCTTATACAATTCTTATCTTACAGCCATCATTTGCTTTGTCTTCCCGCAAAACATGAACTCTTTTCTCGAAGATCAGTTCACTGATAAGATCATACACTCGTATCGTGATGATCCGGATTTACAGAATTTCATTGACTTTGCCCAGCAGGAGTTCAAGTGCTGTGGCCTGAGCAATGCCGGCTACCAGGACTGGAGCAAAAACGAGTACTTCAACTGCTCGTCGCCGTCAGTGGAAAAATGCGGCGTGCCATATAGTTGTTGCATGAACGCGACTGACATTAGCTCCGGCTTGGTGAACATCATGTGCGGCTACGGGGTGCAGGAGCATTCGGTTGCAGCCGCCAGCAAACTGATTTGGACCAGTGGTTGCATTGAAATCGTACGTGTCTGGGCCGAGCGCAATCTCTATACTATTGCGGGCATAGCTCTGGGCATTGCACTTGTACAATTGTTGGTCATCTACTTGGCCAAAACCCTGGAGGGCCAAATCGAATTGCAGAAGTCACGCTGGGCAGCGTAAGGACATACACACTCACATACATATATAGTCAGACTGCCAATCGCTGTGAGAAAAGGATAGAGCCTGTATCTATGCTATGCAGCAGCTCCACTTCGAGATCGATTAACCAAGATACTCAAAGATTTGTAGCATTTAGATTCGTTTTTTTATATCCCACAGTAGCAGACTTTTCATTTCTTTCTTTCTGTCTTTTAAATGTTTCAATTTGTAAAAGTCTGAAATACGTATAATAATTTAATCAGAAACAATTCTCTTAATTGGTTTATATCAAAGGACCAATTTAGCTATAATATTACCACCTACGACAATATGTATATACAAGTACTTACATATATAAGTAGAGAGTCAAGTCAAATGAACAGGCCCTATTTTGTAAGTGCACATTAAATAGAGATTGCATTTTATAACATTTATGCTCATAAGGAGTAGTTTTTTCGGACTTCCGAATATTGAGGACCCTTACTGTAGTAAGGTTTTGACTTAATCTTAAAAATTATGAAACTCGTAATTTGCAGAGAAACAAAACCTTTTTCTTATCAAATCCCCCATTGTTCCCATGACAGTTATTTAAAATAGTCCAGCATGATCAAAAAATTCTACGTTTCGATTAGATAACTTCAAAACGAAGCGACTAGCTTGCATAAAGACTGACAGACAGACAGACGAATATGTCCTTGATCAAGAATATATATTTTATAGGATCGAAATTATCTCCTCTAATGCGTTCACAGTTCGTGACAAAATTGGAATATCCTCTGCATGGGTACAAAAATAACGTATAACTTATAGACTATAAACTATGTACTCATAAATTAAGACAGAAATAAAAGTACATTTTGTATTTATACCACCAAAAAGTGCATACTCTGTTCACAGAGTTAAAAAGGGGGTATATTGGTTTTGTACGCAACTTGTACACAGCTTTATTATTGATGAGTATCCTCTAAAGAGCGAACCAAGAATATTTTCTAGCAATAATCTACACCCCCTCTTATCACAGTCTGAGAACCACTGCCATATACTTACAGTTTAAGAGTCATCAGCCCCATAATTAGGTGAGCTCTCTTGCAGCTTTGTAAACTTTGCAACGATTGTAAACTGGGTGTGAAATGAAACGTTTCGAGTCCGGAATTCTAGTTCTAGTATTCATTATGAACCGAGCCCGAAAAACAACTAATCCTTAGCCATATTTCTTCCAAAATAGTTTATTTGAACCAACACCTGGGCTTGTGGGTGTGGAAGCCAGGTTAACGAACAGGCAGAAAGTCAGCTTAAGCATTACCTTACCATCGAACATTTTTGTTGGGTTTTGCGGCCCTGATATAAAGAAAAATACAGGTTTTGGCCAATTGGTCGGTTTAAGCCTAAGCCATTTTAACAATTATTTTTAACAGATTCAAAAGGGCTCATAATAAAAACAAGCTTATGGATTCGATTGTAAGCTCGAACCAATATATATATATATATAATATATTATACATATATATTTTCTTTCTATCCATTCTCCATTCCACAAAATCTGATTGCATCTGAATTGGAACATTTCCTCGCAAAATTTATTTGAAATAATCAAAAAATAAAAAGTAATTATTAATAATAATAGTTGGAGAAAAAAATTGTTAAAACAAATAAATATTGCGAAATTAGATCAGTTTTAGGTGACTTAATCGAGTGTTGATGGGCACGTTATATTTACAGCTTCCACTCTAAACGGTTTTTGTTGTCCCAGACCCAAGCGCTTTAAAAGCTGCGCGGCTGTGATCCAAAGCCCAGGCCGACGCCGCGCATGGTGTGCGTGGCGGCACGTGCCACCTCGTACTGCTGTTCCATGTTGGAGAACATGCGCTGGCGCAGCTGCACATCGACTGGGATAGATCCGCCGCCATTGGTGCTGCTGCTGCTGCTGCTGGTTTGATCAATCGCTGGATCGGCTTTGGTAGCCGCATTGTTGTTGCCATTATTGTGAATGCCGGCGCTGCTCGTGTTGGTGATGGTGTTGTTGTTGTTGTTGTTGTTGTTGTTACTATTTGTATTGTTATTGGCGTTCTTGATACCCATGAGTCGCATAAACTTGGATGCCACCTTGCCATCGGAGTCCTGAGAGAAATGCGCATTGCCCCACTTGTTCGCCGAATCCTCGTTCTTCTTGGAGCCCCAGAGCAGTTTACGCTTCTGCTGCTGCTCCGCATAGCGATTGGCATTGATAATGCCAGGATTATAGTATTTGGGTAGCTGCACAGCGGCTGGCTGTGCATCGACTAGCACGTTTGCCGGCGTGTTCAGCTCCAGCGACATTAAGGATGGTATTTTGGGCGCATAGTTGGGCGTTGGCAGCAAGCCACCGCCGCCGATGACGCTGCCAGCTGGAGTCATAGTGGCCGACAGGGCAGCTGCTGCTGCTGCGGCTGCTCCCGGGCCAGCTGTTGTAAATGGCACTGGTGGCTTGCCGAGTAGTCCGGCTGCTGGGAAGGCGGCTCTCATTAGCGGCTCGCTGGACTTTCTGACGCTGACTGGACGCTCGGGCGGCGATCTGGAACGGCTGCTGGAATCGCGCGAATCACGTCTGCGATATTTGCGTGTTGCCTGCGCGCCCAATGACTGGGGCGGCGCCTGACGCCGACGATTTGACGGCGCATCAATAGGTGTGCGTGTGCGGGAGCGAGAGCTCGAACGTGACCGGGAGCGCGAGTCGCGACGACGACGGCCGCGTTCATCATAGGAGCGACGCTGCGAGTGCTGCAGCTGCTGTTGCAGCGACTGAGATTTGTACGTCAATGATGACGACGAGGCTGAGTTGTAGGAACGCGAGTTGTCGCTGAAGCGCGTCTCTTTGGTGTGATGCCGCGACGCAGTCCTATCCCTATCTCTATCCCTGCCACTGCCACTGCCATGGCGGCGCTCTTCACGCTCACGTTCGCGCTCGCGCTTGTAATCACTCTCTTTGTTGCTTTCTTTGGTGCGATGATGGCGTTCGCTCTGTAAATCAAATGTAAATTATTGTTAAATGATTCATTCCATCAAATTGATTGAACACCAATGACACGAGAGAGAGTGAGAAAGAGCGTGTGCAAAAGAGACTGCAGCATAGCAATAGTCTTATTGATTGAAGAGAGAGAGGTGAATAGTGCCAAAATTGTTGAACTTTCAGCTTTATTACATGCCCTGCCCTTAATGCATTTAATCGAATTAAAGGCTCTTTTGCAGAGCTTTGCAACACTGTTTGCCTTTTCAGCTCGTGTCATTACATGGCTCCCACCTTGCTGTAGTCCTTATCCCGTTCCTTCTCCCTGTTCCGCTCTGTGTCACGCTGGCGGCCACGGGCATCCTGTAACGAAATCAAAAAGGCAGTGGAAAATCATATTAGTGCTTCGTATTCGATGCGGCTATTGATAATCAAATCAAATTAAGACTTTCATAACAAAACAGAATGAAACGTAAGACAAATTGGGCGCTGGGCACAAAGTTTTTGTTTAAAGGAAGAATGCAAAAACGTTTCTTATGCATTCGGCTCTGCCCTGTAAGTCCATGCGTGTGTGGATGCGATGGAGATATGGTTAATGTTGTTCTTGTTGTTGTTGTTGTTATAGCTGTTGTTGTTGTTGTTGTTGTTCAGTTTGTGACTGCTGGCGCTGCTGCAAGAGATGTTTAAATTGTCGCTTCGGCTACGCGAGAACCATCGGATTCTCACAGTTGGATAAGTTCATAGATAAGTGTGTGGATTAAATGCTAAGTATTGGGTTTTTGGTTATTATTTTATGTTGCAATACTCACATTGATGCGTCTCGATCTTCTTTCTCTCTTTGTCGCAACCATGCGGTTAGAGTGTGTGTTCAAGGAGTTAAAGGAGTGGGACACAATACCCTGTTGGGCGCGTTGGAACAACTCTAATAACTCTAAAACAGTCACGTTCACAGTTTATCGGTTATCGTTTATCGTTTATCGGTTATCGCTTTAGGTCTTAACTGTCTCAGTTCGTTTACAGTACTTAGGTTCGCTAAAGTTTGTGTTTTTTTTTGTGCTAGTCGAGTTCGCCAAGTCCTGGTCGAGACTTTATCTTTTTTTCTTTAATTTTTTGTTTTGGTTTTTGGTTTTTTTTTTTGGTTTGTTTACATAATAATAACAATAATAAAATGGTATATTTTAGTCATATATAAATATCAAGGTTGCATAAAAGTTTAAGCTTAAATATGTATTAATAACAAAATACGAGTACAAATTAGAATTGCAATTATGGTTATAATTGATACTAATAGAGTTGTTACAACAACCTCGACTCCGACACCACGACCCACAAAAACTTTATAGTTTCACATAATAGATACACACACTCATCCAGACAAACATGCACGCACACTAGAAATATCAGACCCGCCTGCAGCCCTTCGATGGAGGAGCTCTAGGAATCGGACAAGTAAAAATAAAGCCGCCAGACAAGAAATTGGAAATACGGCTAAAGACCATCAATGAAAACATTGAACTATAAAAACATAAATATATAATAATGTGTGTGTGTGTGTGTGTGTATGTGTGTAGGTACATAAAGTGCATTTATGTACGAGCACATATTGTATAAATGTACAACATTAAAACAAATTAACTATAACTATGTGCCTCACATAAATATTTAAATATCAGTGCATAGCCTGAAAAACAGAAATATTGTACTCAACCATTTTGTATTTAGACTTTATAGTACATTTTCTTGTTGAACGGGAAGTTCTTTCATATATAAATATAGTAATTAATTATAGCAATTGTTAATGACAAACAGTTAACAGTTCTCAAACGTTCTTTAGTTGTTTTAAGGGAAAAAAATAAAATTATTCAATCATAATTTCTCATTTCCTACTCATAACTATTATTTCTGTTAAACAATTGGATCCTCCAAGGGTTTTCAGATTTTTTTGCTGCCATTTAAGTTCTAGCTAAATTAGAAATCAGCCCAGGAGGACTTTCCGTTTGATAGAAATTGAACATATTTCAAGCTTAATAATTAAGAAACACTAAAAAAAAGTGTGAAATTTTCAATTTTACCAATTTAGTATAAGTTAAATTGTCCTTTTTTTAATTGAGTGTGTTTTATTGAGGTAATTTTTACTATCACACGCCCACTCTAGACCCATAATTATTTCCCTGTAGAGGGAGTAGAGGGAGGCAACATCTTCGATCTGTCTGACTGTCTGCTTCTATGCAAAGGTATTCTTTTGTTCAGTTTTAAAGCTTTTGGCATAAACCTTCGCATAGCTTTGCCTTTCTATTATGGGCAGTACACATATCAAAACCGTCCAGATCGACCTATGAAACATATAGCTGTCAGAGGAACATTCGGTCAAACAAGTTCTTCTATTAATGATTTCTTTGTTTTTCAAGATATGCTAAGCCTGGCATTAATTTCAGTATAACTTTCTACATACAGGCAACATCTTTTCAAAATCGGACTACTCTATCATATAGCTTTATGGCAAGAATCGGTAACAAAACTAGTTTTTGTACGACAACATTTACTGTTATTTCCTCAAAACTTACAAGCTTTATAATTCTTCTCGTATATCTTATCTTAATCTTCGGCGTGCCAAAGTGTGCCGTCCCTTCTCGTTTTACGTACTATCCAAACATTTTGCAGCTATAGCAAAACCTAATGACATAACTATGCAAATATTGAATTGGCTATTTGTCAAAAACAAATACACATTTTAGGCGCTGAGTGATATAGTTTCGGGAGATCCGTAGAAAACATGATAACAATATAGATCGATAGCTTTAGTATTTACTTAGTACATAAACGAAGAAAAATTCCCTGTGCTACAACAAAATGTATTTGAAATCTTTAATGGAAATTTTGGCTCTTTAGTTGCTTTTGGTTTCGGCAGTTAAATATTTATATGAGGCATTTAAATATCTATGACAAAGACAACAAAAGTTTACCTCATCTTTTTTGTTGTTGTTGTTGTTATGGCGACTGCTGCGGCTCCTGTGATGATGATGACGATGGCGATGACTATGTCGCCCTCCGCCACTTTGTAGCGGGGGTGTGGTCTGCAGTTGATGGTATTTGGCCATCTTGGACATTGATGTTGGGGCCGGCTGCGGCGACAGTGTTGGCAGGCGTTTCTTCAACTTGTCTATTTTGTTGTCAGTGTCAATGCTGCTGTCAGAGGCGCTGCTGGCGCTGTTGCTGCTCGATCGTCGACGCTGGCGTCTCATCTGACGGTCGTTGCTTTTGTTTTTAGCCTTTTGTTGCTTTCCGGCAGCCTTAGATGACGCTTCCATTGCCGGCGGACTGCACGAGCGTGAACGGCGTCGAGCAGCAGCAGCAGCAGCAGCAGCAGCGGCATCGGCAGCAGCAGATGCAGATGCTGTTGCAGTTGCATGAGCGGGTGGCGGACTGCGGTTTTTTCGTGTGCTTGTGTTTGTGACTGCAGCTGGTTGTGGTGGTGGTGCTGCGGCTGGTGGTGCCTAGGGGAATGGTTCAACTATTCAGAAACAGCAAATTCGCATTATTTTACTAAAACACTAGGCACAACTACATTAATAGAGACAAGAGAGGGGGGACAAGACGGGGAAGTTCATTGTTTTGATTTCAGTTTGAGGCAAGACCCGCGCCATACGTATTTCAATACAGATTCTGCTTATAAATATATGAATATATATGTATATGCCTAACACACAAACATACGATATATACATGCACACTCACACATACGCACAAAACTACATAGATATATATATATATACATAGAGGCATGCTCGCCTCGGTAAAATGTATACACAAAAAAAATGCTCTGACATTTGGCATTTTTTTTCCCCTAATATATGTGGAGTATTTACCCTTATCTCGTAGCCGGGATCGTCCTCGTGTTCATCCTCGCTGCTATAATTGACCAGCGCCTCCATTTTGCCAAATTATTAATTGATTTTTGCGCTTGGGCTGTTCTTAAAACTTGAATATTAAAATCAATAAATCTATTCCGTTGCTGCTGCTATCTTTTCTTTTTTTCTCTGGCAGACAGCTTGTCGATACACTGGGATGACAATTGTTGGCATCGACTACCTATTTATCGTAGTACGGCAAATGAGAATGTTGATATTTTATCGATATGTCAATGAGATTTTATCGTTTTTATAGTTTCTTTGCCATTACCACAAATTGAACTATAAATTTATTTAAATTCACTTCAACAAGTATATACTAAGCGTTGTTACATTTAATAAACTCTGTACTTATTTATTGTTTATGTTAAATTAGTAATAGCAGTGCTCAACGAGATTCGTTGTTTTGGCCGAGTAAAATACAAAAATGAATCGATATGTGATAGTCTCTTTGTTGTAAGAAACGCTGACGCTTATCAGCTGTGGCAGCACTTGCCTCAGTACAACTCTGCGTTGGGCGCGCCAATTTAAAAAATGAATGACTAGTAAATAAAAACTTGCATTCATTTTGTGAAGTGGTCTTATGTCACCTGTCGCATAAAAATGCTAAAATCCACTCTCCTTCACTTCTCGTTTTTAAAAATCATCCATCATTTTGATTTTCTTAAGTGGCTCTAAAACTGTAATAAGATAAGTACTTTAAGGTTGTGGCGCATTGTTATTGTTGTTATTTTTTTGTGTGTTGTTTTTTATTACAATTTTGTTTACGCAGAACTTTTTGGCTAACGTGCCGGCTTCAACGTCGCCGAAGTTACACATTAACCTTATTTCTGTTGAGAGATAAAGCAAAACATATTTGGACCTAAAAATAACCATAAATAAATTTACAGTTGTGCTTGCCGAAGGGCCATCAGAACGTTGAGTTGGTGTTTACCACTTAGCACTTGACCAATGCTGGGGAGGGGTAATCATTATGCATAGCACAGTGAATGCTCAACAAAATAAACACACGCTTATGTAAATGTTACTGCGCATTGTTTGACAAAGCATTTTTTGATGCTTTTATTGTTAAGAATATTGCTGCAAAGAAAATTAGAGGGCCGTTTAAACCTTTAAATTAATTACTTATTTATTCCAAATATGTTAAGTTCCTGCTCAAGCATAACATTACGTCAACAAATAGTTTGTTTTTCCGGCATTGAACTAGTCAACTTTATCAAGCATGCACTGTACTATGCTCGACAATCGTCGCAGACCGTCAGGGCTGCCACCATGGGCGCTTCTGGTGTGGATTACAGCTAGAGTAATACCACTAACACATACACTTCATGTAAGCACACACAACATACGCGTTTGCATGTATGTACATACATTTGTATGTATGTATTTATATGTTTTTGTGCAGTGCTTTTGCTGCTGTTTATTTATTTCAAATGTTGTTTTGATTTCATTTGGTTTTTTTTTTGTTTGCTATGCAAGGCCAATTGCTTTATATTAATCGTTTATTAGCAATTTTTTAACATTTATGTATATACATACATACCTATAAAGACTAAAACTTGGACTTAGATTTTTGCGTATAAGCAAATCTTGAACTTTGGCAAAAATATAAGGCAAATGAAAGAAAATACTTACAAACAAAAAATAAGAACACACACACAAAAACCTTTCCATAAATTAAAAACCTTGTTTACCAATTTTGCTCCTTATTTACCCAATTCGTCAAAGCTATTTCCAAATTTGTTTGACCTTTTTTCTACGAGGGTTGAAATGTAAGTTTGTACACGTGTTCTTTATATTTGTGGTAGGTAATAGTAGTTAAGTAATAGGTTGCATATGTTGATATAGCTAGTTTCATTGTCGTTAACTTAGACAACCAGGTGGACCCTTTCGTACATTGCTCTGTATGTACATCAATATGTACATATGTTCATATGCTCTTAAATTTTTATTTTATATATTGGGTAGCGATCTTTAAGAGTTAAAAGATGTATAATGTAATTTTGTGGACGAAATCTTTAAGCCCAAATTAAACCTGTGTAGCACTTTCGAGCAATTTCTACGCCAAGTGTGAAAATTGAACTAAATAACCTGTCGAACTACCTTCGATAATTTCTGTTTACTTTTTGGACTAATCTTTACATACAAAGCGGCCACGCCGCACTTTCAAATTAATGATGGACAAAGAGTCCGCTGCTGTTGCTATATTTTTGTTTTTTTATCAATGCCAACAACAACAACAACAATAATTATATTAAATGAAAAATAGCTAAAGCAGGTCACTGATAAGGCGACAGTTTTGGCTGTCCAAGAATAATTGTAAATAAACATACATACATACAAACAACATGGAAATGCACGCATTTACTTGCATGCACACAGACATATGTATGTATGTAAGTACATACATTAAGCTGCATTCAGCATCTAGAACCTACGACAACAAAAAGGACGCCTTGCATGGCGCACGTACACATTTCTGATGTCTGGCAATGCCACCACGATTTCAATAATACGCATACAGCAATGCATGCATACACGTATTTGCATGCACTGACACGCACACATACAACGGCGATTAATACAATGTCATTTAATGCTCAATTCAGATCAAAAGCTACAATTGAAAAAAATAAAAAGTGCGCTGCTTCGGCTGACTCTCTCACCGCCGGCGTAACGGTGCTGACGTGCCAAAATCCGCATACAAAAACCGCAGCAGCAACTGCCGACCCCAAACACTGACGCACACGCCCTCATGTTGCATGTCAAGTAACTGCTCGCTGCGGATGCAGAGCGTAGCATCAATGAAATTGAAAAATACCAGTATTATTAACTCTCAACTCTTGTTGTTGAGCCGGCAGACGACAATGAGGCGCAACACGTACGCCAAAAATTAAATGGCGTTGCGGAAATCTCAAACAGGCGAAAAAGAAAACCTTGAAAAAAAAACACCAAGCGCTCAAACAGCGCAAAAAGCCAAAATCGAAAAGAGCAACAATAACAACAGAGGGCAAATCAGAAGAGAGAACGAGAAACAAAAAACCGAACATCTTAGCAGACATACATACATATGTACATACATATGTATGTTTATACATATGTACATACACACATACGCATATCTCGGAGTCGCGCCACGCTTCGGCGGCTAGAGCAAGAGCAATTACAATTACAATTACACGCGTCGCGTGTAGGCTGAGAAACATCATGTGTACATATATACACATGTGTGTACACACTTTACTTCGCATTTTAATTAGCCGGTCGCAGATTTGTAAGACATGCTTACATATTTAAATACATATGTATGTATGTATGTATGTATATGAAATAAACAAACTTTCTACGCCATCTTTTGTTTTCATCTTATCCATTAAATTAGCATGCAGCTGTAGTTTTCAAAATACGCATTTCTTTTTATTTTTCAATTTTTGGCAGTCCCAGGCTTAAGCCTGCGACGACATGGTTAGTACGCTGATCACGAAAATGTAAACACACATACATATGTATAAAAGTTTGCCATTAATGTAAATTTTGCTCGGAGCAGTATGTTGATATCAAATAAACCTTATTGGCTATCTCTAGGTGCTATTTTAAAGGCAAAAGCTGAGAGCTGCGAATAAAATAAAATTCTCAATTCAATACATTTCTGTTAACAACGATCTGCATACCAAGCCTAACTTGAACATTGGGTCGCCTGCTCAGGTGGGGAGGGTATTCAATATTCTCTACTTTCATAATATTATTTATTAATACTTGTTTTTCTTTTTTAACAGGTCTTCTATTTAAATTTTTTTTTATTTTCACAAAAATTTCAATATAGTACATATGATATAATGGAAGTCTGAAACTTATATACTTAGTAAATAATCAAATAATTGCTTAGTAAATAATCAATACTTATCTATCCGCTGTGCTTGATATCCCGAACTTTTCGTCTATCTCTTGGGCATAAGCAATGCCAAAAGATACGAAATGAGTGGATTTAAACCGTTAAGTTTATAAAATGGCCTCGTAAAGACGTTAAGTTGATTTAAGTGCCCCACAAATAATTTAAATTAATTTGCACAGAGGCAAATGAAGAGATCGTCGAAGAAGATAATAATTTGAACTAAATAAAGTATAAATAAAAGGAAAAAATAACCATAACATTAATTCATATTTTATTCTGATAAACGTTGCTTTTTTTCTACCTAGTTTTTTTTTACACATATGTATGTACATATTTATGTAAATATGTAAGCATGTATATTGCAAGGTAACTAAAGCATTTTCTTGAACCTGCTGTTGTTGTTTCATGTAAATTGTTTGCATTCGCCGGCGCTTAAAATGTTACGTGACGATTTGGGAGTCAGCCGATGTCGATGCGCGCGTTGTTCTTGTACACGTTCACATGCACACACAGACAGACACACATACACACACATGCTGAGAAATAGATATGTATGTATGTATACCAACACATTGAATGAAGCCCGAGTGCATTGCACTCCCAATACAAAGTAACAACAACAAATAGGCGCTGATTGGGGCCATTTACAGTCTAAGCCAACTTGTAACTTGTTGCACATTTAGACCCGTAAATCAAAACAAAAATCTACGTGTATATATGTACATATGTATGTACATGTTCATGTATATGCGTATGTACCTATGTATCTTCATTTGTATGCATAACAGCTGATGTATTACAGCTGTTAATTTTTGTAAATCATTTGCCCACTCTTCTCATGAGCAAAATCATATACATATGTATGTATGTACATACATATTCTAAGTGCCCGTTATTGTTTATACTTTGGCGCTCTTGAAATTACTCGTTGCAGGATCGCTTGCAAAGAGGTTAAGCTCAGAGAGTAAAGAGTGCGCTCCATCTGAGCAAGACGGATTATATAACGCAAGCATATGTATGCATACATACATATACAGCGGTACATATGAGTTTATATAGTGTGCGTGTGTAAATATTCACGTGTACGTGTGCTTGCGCGTGAGGCAATGAAGTGTGTGGAAGTAGAACAAAAACAGAAAACTCGCTCGTCCGTTTGGCCGATGGCACTTATGTGTGTACATATGTGCATATACATATACATAAATCCATATGTATTGTCTAGCACATTGAAAGCGACCCTTCCGTTCATCAAACAGTCTGTCACACCGACCTAAATATGTAAGTTTTC